GCGGCCGATCCCCGAGTCTGCTTCGGCGCCGCCGAGCACCGCCCGCCTCAGCCAACCAGCCCCGTCGGCTCCGGGGCCTCGCTGAGCCGAGAGGAAAGAAAGGCGCAGGCGGCTGCGTGGAGGCGGCGGGGGCGCGGGCGGAGGCGGCGCGGCCGGCCGCGGCTGCCGCTTTGTTGTGCGGCCCGGGCCGAGGAAGGAGAAGTGGGAGGAGGGGGGAGCTCGGCGTCCCGCTCCCTCCGCGGCTCATGGCGACGACGCTCGGCACATCCGGGACCCTCCGGCCGTGGCGGCCGCGGCGCCGGCTGCTCGGGCCCCAGCCCCGGCCGCTGTGGTGACTCTGTCGCGCCTTGCCGTCGCCCTCGCCCCGCCTGCCGGCCCCGCGCCGCGGCCGCTGCCCCGCCGCCGCCCCCGCCGCTGGGGACATGTCTAACCCTGGGGGCCGGAGGAACGGGCCCGTCAAGCTGCGTCTGACAGGTGAGGGGGGCAGAGAGGCGCGCGGGCGGCGGGAGCCGGCCGGGGCAGCCGCGGGGTGGGCGAGCCGGCGGGGGGTGTCGGTGGCCTTGGGAAGGGCCAGGGTCGCGATCAATGGTGAGTTTGGGGTCGAGGACGTGGGAAGGCCTAGTTCAGGGAGAGTCATGGCAAAATCACTCGCCCTTGTTTGGAAATTCTCTCAAGAAGCCAAGGGTGACTCGGGGGGTCTTTTGTTGAGGGGCGGGGGGCGGGGGGCCCAGGTTGGAATTCCAGGCGGATTTGAGGTCGAAAAGCCTTGGCCGAGGAGCACGACTCTCCCGGCGCCTCGGGGAGCAGCCCCTGGGCCGCCGCCCAGGTGGGGTCGTTGAGGGGATGCGGAGCTCCCGTGCGGGGATGATTGAACCCGGTGGCTGGCTGCGCGCAGTAAACACTCCTTAAAGATGGAGCGCTTAACGGGAGGGTGTGTGTGTGTGTTCCCTGGTGGTTAACTTGTTCGCCCACTTGTGCCCGCGTGCACAACCTTCCCTCTCTGCTGCCAGCCACAGCTGCCGGTGCCACACACCTGAGACGTACGTCCTTGGGAGGGAAGGAGGCTGAGGTTGACTTTTCCGGTGTGTCTGCCTGATCCGACGACTCCGGCTCATTGTACCCTCGATGTTTTGGAAGCGTTTGATTGCAGGGTAGCATGTTTTGGGTTGTTCCTTGTAGGCCGCAGAGCTTGTGTCTCACTTCTGACTCTAGACCGGCTTTGCAAACACACTTTGTTTTTTTTTTTTTTTTGTACATTTCTAAGTATGTGCTCACATAAACTTTCAAGCGAAGTTTTTCCTCTGTCCCCAACCTCCCTCCCCTTCCCTTTTCTCAATGGAAAAGAATGTCTGGAGCGGTTGCTAGATAGGCTTCTCTTACGAAGTGTTTATGAGTCCAAGTGCGTTAAAACTTTAACATTACAGGTCCATTTTGCTTACAATGCCTTTTTTTTTTTTGTATTCTTACACGGTCGTGTTGCCTCATTTTAAAGAAAATATATTTTTGGTTTGAAAAGGTAGTTGAAATCAGCATAGTTATCCTAGTTTCACCATTCCACTATTAGTACATTACCCACGTTGATATTTGAATGTGTGGTGAGAATCATTTTCCTGAGACATCTGTGTGTGTGTGTGTAAGAATAAACTGTAATTATGTTTGCCTACACTAGACTTTGAGATTTATATGCACTAATTTTGTAATTGAATGCTTGTGTGTTACATCCCAGTCCACTGGCTGAACTTTTGAGATAAAGACTTGCAGTGAATTTGGTATTTGAGAATTTAGTCTGAGTGTATGTTGGCTGCAATTTCAAAAATGTATTTCTTTCATGACAGTTTTACTTTTCCTAGGGAAAACTGCAAAGAATCATTAACTGAGTGTTCCTTAATGGAAAACCTGGGTTAGGGGATGCCTGTCTCCCCCATTCAGTTTCCTTATTTTTATATGAATCAATGGAAACCTTTATAACAGATGTTTGTTGCTTTAGAGTTTATCTATACTGCTGTTCCTCTCCAGAGTCAGTCCTGTGTCAGTGATTATGGAAAGAAACTGTGATTCCAGGTATGCAGAAAGCATCAAAAATAGGCTATTGTCCATTTACTACCTTCTAGCCTATATACATAGTGAGAAAATGAGGGAGAAAACAGGGATTTTGACTTTCTGCAGATAAAATGAGTTTGAGGTTTTTTTGTGTGACTCAGTAGATCTTAAAGTGTTTATCTGTGGTTTCCTGACTGCAAATGATACATTATAAAAATTCATGAGTAAAGTTAGGAGAAAAGATTACACTTATTTTTGGGGGGAGAGGGACACTGGACTGAATTTGTAGAGTGACTTTGTAGTTCTAGATTTTTCTTAGGAATTTTAAATATACTGTGTCCCCTTAATTGTAAAAACAGTTGAGGTACTCTCAATTTCTTAAAATGGTTGGGAATTTGTCTCTGTCATATTTTAAGAGAAAACTATTCAAATATTAAAAACATTGCCCTCTCCTTTTTGGTTACATATGGTGGATTTTCTTCTGTTTTGCCAGGAAAGTTAACATATATTTTTCATTTTTGTTCATTTACAAATTAGATGGTATATATTTTAACAAATAGATCTCAAGAGCTGGATTCAATTAGCAGCTTTTTAGGACATAAACATTAAAGGGTTAGATGGAAAAGATTGTTTTGACTGACTGGATAAATGACAGGGCTGTGTTTGATGTGTGTCCAGGAATTGGTCTGGAGCTGGTGCCCAACTTTTCAGTCCATCTTGAGAAGCCAAATAAAATATTTAACCTAGGCCTCGTTTTGTTTTTTAAAAAAAAGTTGATTCTTTGTTAAGACCTTAAGAAATGTTTGGCATACCTTTAGACTAAGTGTTTAACAGTTCATTTAGATCCGGATTCCATCATAGAGGAAAATCACTTAAAAAAAAAAAAAGGGAAAAAAAACAAGTCAGATCCCACAGCGATCTTTTATTTGGTTTACAATATACTGGGGCTGTAAGATGCTTTAAAATTATTGCTCTTTGCTTTATGTTAATACCATATCAGTATTTTAAATTTATAGAGTGTCTTTGATATTAAGGTGCTTTATGAACTGTAGTTACTCAATTATATCCTTAATATAGAGTTGCCCCTTTTCTGAAAGGTGTAAACAATTCATGATGACACACACACACACACACACACACACACACACACACACACACACACACACAAACTGAAGGAGAAGAAATATTTGAACTATGAGATCTCTGCCCACAACAGATATTAGACTTTTCCACATATTATCTAAGACCACAGTCAACTAGTGAACTGTTTGGTATTTGTTGATGCTAAGAAGTCAGGGCTAATTTAATACCAAATTTGAGATTCCTCACACGATCAGTGGTTAAAATCTGATTGGGTCCATCAAGCTACTTCAGTTCTTTATGACACATTAACACTTGATCATTAAAATGGGCTCTATGGTAAAACTATCAGTTTCAGCAAGTATTTCTAGAGCAAATTGATTGTAAAATGTAAAATTTGTATACACTATACTTACGAATATCTGATACAGGCTTTTCTTACAATGGTTTGGATAGAACATATTCTTTGTATTTGGTTATAGTAAAAAATTTGAGGTAATTTTTGTTTTATATCATTTTTTTGAAAACCAAAGCCTGGAAAAAGCAATTTAGTATAATTTCTAATATTTAAAATTCTTAGATCTGGAGAAGTAACAGATTACTTCTCCAGAGCCTTTTTGTAATTTAAATGTTTTTGTATGCTGCTCCTCATGTTATTAATTTATAAAACTCTTGCAGGAATGAGGTTAACCTTGTCTATTGCTAAGGGAAAATTAATTTAAGTCTCACTTTAGATATACTGGCATCTTAGTATTGTTTTCCTGCATATTTTGTTGATTCAAGTCTTTAAAGATTGCAACTTGATTATATCTCACAGGTTTCTAAGTAGGAATGTACCTGTCTACCATAATGACTTTTTCTAGGGGTGTTAGTGACTTGAATGCCCGTAATTCATTATATTTTCTTGGTTTCTGAAGAGGAAGCCAATCTGGCTTAGCTCTTTCCTTTTCTCTTTACATTGTCTCTTCTAGTCTAACCTTCATACAGGCAGTTGGACCTGCCTAGGTGCTTCATGTAGTTTGATTTTCATTGGTTAGTCAAGAGTGTGTGTGTGTGTGTGTGTGTGTGTGTGTGTGTGTGTGTGTGTGTGTGTTTTTTTTTCTTGAATTGTATCTATCATAACTACTAACGTCATTTATTTAGCATATAATTTAGCATATTTAGCATATAACTTAATTTTTAAGGTAAATGGAAG